CCCACCTCATGGGGGATGGCCATGCCTCAATCCCTTCTCCTCCATTCTCCTCTTGGGATTTTGGGCACGCATGCACACGTGCCCAGCGTGAGTCCAAGCCACTGGGTCTGGGACTTGACCCGCGGTTGACTACATGAGAGTTCAGCAACATAGCCATTACACTAACTACTGGTCCCAATCATGCTATTATTATGCTCATTTAAAAGTAGTTATTGGGCAGAAAAAAATACTTTTTTTAAGTCAGGTTGTGTAAATATTCCAACTTTGTTATTTTTTACAATCGTTTTGGCTGTTCTAGGTTCTTTGCATTTGTGTGTACATTTTAGAGTCCACATGCCAATTTCTAAAAAAATAAAAAATAAAAACCAACAAAATAAATTAAAGCAAACTGAAAAGCCTTAGACCAGTTAAGAGCTGACATTCTTAACAATTTGCTTCCCTGATCCAAGAACATGGTCTATCTCCTATTCAGGGGAGAGAGGTTTCTCTAATGTTTCTCCACTAGGTTTCTAAGTTTTTAGTGTTTAGTTTTGCATACTTTCTGTTAAATTTAAATCCAAGTATTTCATTTTAATGGTATTGTAAATAATACTGTCTTTTACTTTTTAATTTAAAAAGTTTTATTTTAGTGTATAGAAATATACTTGGTGTTTTTGGGTTAACCTATTTCTGACTATGGTAAACTGATTTATTACTTCTTACAACTTATTGATTTTTTTGGAATTTGTAAAATATACTTCTGTGACCAGCAGATGGCATAATGGTTACCGTGCTGGACTCCTACAGAGTTGACTATAGTTCAAGTCCCAGACCTAGCAGCTTAAACTCATGCTGGATGTGTGTGTATGTGTGTGTGCTCAAGATCCTGAGAAGAGAATAGAGAAGGGATTGTGGTATGGCCATCCCCCCAGGAGGTGGTGTCTCGCTTTCTGTCTCTCTCTCAGTGAGTGCATGTGTCCTATAGCAAAAATCTCTTTTTAAAATACATACATATATATATATAAACACACACACACACACATATACACATATACACACACACACACACACACACATATACACATATATACACACACACACATATATAAACATATACTTCTTAGACAATACATCATCTGAAAATAAAAATATTTCTTGCCTTTTCAATATCTAGGTTTTTATATTTTTTTCTTCCCTCTCTTATTTCATCAACCAGGACCTCTAGAACAATGATTAATGTCAGTGAGATTTTTTTTCCTGCTCTTTGTCTGAAAAACTATTTATTTTACCAAAATAGTTGCAAAGTATTTTTCTTGGGCATAGAATTTTAGATCGATCACTTTTATTCCCCTAATCACTTTAAAGATGTTGTTCCATTATTTGCAGAGGTTTTGGTGGAAAGTTTTTCATCCTGGCTGTTATTTTTATCTTCATGCTTTTGAACACAATTTACACTGACCATTTTCAAGGTTTTTCTCTTTACATTGGGATTCCCACAATTTAATTATCTGAGGGGTCTTTTAAAAAGTTCATAAAAAATGAGTATTATGAATAGATTTCAAAAATTTTTGCACCAAAATTAACTCATACTTCAAGTCCATTTTTCTACAAACTTTTTGCGTTATCCTGGAAGTATGTTTAGTTTTTTTGTTTGTTTGCTTGTATTTTTTTAATGTCTAGTCTGATTGAGGGTCATGTTGTTCCTCATATCTGTGGGTTTATAATTTTTAAATAAATTTAGAAAATATTCAACAATTTTTCTGCAAATCAGTTCTTCTGCCACTTTTTCTCTCCTTTCCTTTCAGGTCTCTAATTATTCATCTCTTTAGTCCACTGTTCTGTTTTCTTCAGTTTATTTCTATGCTTTATTTTATCTTGTACCTATTACTATGCTTTTAATTTTATCAATATTTCCTTTTTATTTTATTTATTTATGCATTCAATCACTGCTTATTATTAAAGCTTGTAAAATGAGTTTTCCCAGCATGAACACACTGTATATTAGTCCAGTTAAAGGTATTATCATACATGTTGTCATCAACAGATAATTTTCCATTTTTGTGTCCCTTAAATGTTTTGATTCTTTTTCCCCTTGATTCCTTTCCTTTCTCCCTTACACAATTTCTAATTTGTTGTTAATCTCACCCAGTATATTAATCATTTACTATCTTTTTTTTATCTTTTCAAGTTCAACTTTTGGTCTTTTTAGAAATATTCTCCGACTTATCCTCTCATGTTTCTCTTTTCCTTTACCTCTTTGAATATATGGAGCATATGTATAGTAGTGTCTTAACACTTCTGTCTGCTAATTCTACAATTTTGATTTTGTGTTTTCTATTTTAGGTTTTTGTCATAGGGTATGTGCACTCACCAGAGAGAGAAAGAGAGAGGAAAAGTGAGAAATCCCCCCCCCCCCGATACATGGAATGACTCAAGTCCTTCTCCTCCATTCTCCTCTTTAAATTTTGTACATGCACTCTGGCATGATTTTAAGCTGCCAGGTCCAGGACTTTAACTGTAGTCAATCACATGGAGACCCAGAGCATTAACCACTACGAAACCTGCTGGCCCATGATTTTGCCTCTTTTTATGCCTCATACTTCTCTATTTTACTCCAGATACTATAAATTTTACATTCTTTTGGTGCCAGATTTTATTATATCATTTATACAGTGTGAATATTTTTTGTTATTATTGCTATTAAGTTTAATTCTTTTGAATTAGTTGTAAACTCTCAAGTCTTGCTTTACAGTTTTTGTAAAGGCAGGTCCAGAATTAGAGAGAATTTGTTTGACTACTAAGAGGATATCATTTTGAGGGATAGCCAATGATCTGTTTGTTATTAGATCTTTTCACTCTAACTGGTGAAACATCAGCGGTTTCTTTCTCTATGAAAACTGAAAATTTTATGTTCTACTGCTTTCCTATGATTCTTTTTCCAGCCTCAAATAGTTTCTTCTTGCCCATGTGCTAATTACTCAGTGAATAGCTTAAGGGAAACCTTCTGCTGATCTCTGGTGCTGTCTCTCTGTATTGCATTTTATTTTCTAGTATGCTTTCTTACAAATTCTAGCTTTCTTGGCTTTCTGGAACTTTAACCTCTGTCTCTTCAACTCAACTAGATTGTGAATCACCCTTTAGGCTTTATTTATTCAACTGTGGCCAAGAAAATATTCCCAGACCCCAGTAAACTATAACAATTGTGAAGCTAACCTTGTTTGTTTGTCTTTCTTTAGGGATCACATTCCTATGCTGGCTGTTTTCCAATGTCTTTAAAATTCTGTTACATATTCTTTTTACAGTTTTCTAGTTATTTAAGGTAGAAGAGTAAGTGTGAGCCTTGTTAGTCCTTTTTGAACAGTTTCATAAATATATTTCCATATGTTTAAATACATGTTTCCTAACTATATTAATTTATTGATTTATTGATTGCATGAGTGAGAGAAATAGCACCCTTAACAGAGTCTTTGATACAACCATCCACTCCCAGCCTCAGCCTAGATCATGGACATGTCAGTGCTCAGTGCACTCAGGGAAGTCTCATAAAATGAACTCTAGGGACCAGCAGTTAGCGTAACGGCTATGTCGCTGGACTCCCATGTAGTCGACATAGTGGGTTTGCGTCCCGGACCCGGTGGCTTAAACACATGCCAGACACGCGTGCGTGTGTGCCTAAGATCCCGGGAGGAGAATGGAGAAGAGGGGATTGCGGCGTGGCCATCCCCCCTGGGGGATGGTTTCTTGCTTTCTGTCTCTCTGTCTTTCTGGCAAGCGCACGCACCCTATAGCAAAAACCTCTCCAAAAAAAGAAAAAAATATGAACTCTAAACCTTCTCTGATAGGTCAGCCTTGCAGAGTTTTTTGTTTTACTATGGCACCACGATCTGGCTCCCTCTTTGGTAAATGCATCATTATTATATGTATGTGTTTTTATAACACTTTCCTACTTATTATATTTGTTGCTCTTCTTTGTGAAAATACTACCTAGTCTAAGGTGTTTCAATTTTCAATATGTTCATGTATTTAGCACACAGTATTTGAGTACTTATTATTTCTTAGATCCTGTGATGGACACTAATGCGACACACACATATGTATATATGTGTGTATGTGTGTGTGTATGTATACATAAATATATGTATACACATACATATTCTTATCATTTCTTAGATCCTATGATGGACACTAAATATATATGTGTGTGTGTGTGTGTATACACATGCATATATATATATATATAAACACATATATAAACACACATGCACGCACACACATATATATGTATTTCTTTTTTGAGAGAGAGATTTTTGCTATATGGTGTGCATACTTGTCAGAAAGACAGAGAGAGACGAAAGTGAGAAATCAGCCCCTGGGGGGATGATCATGCCACAGTCCCTTCTCCTTCATTCTCCTCTCTGGATCTTGGGTATGCACACACAGACACCTGGAGTGAGTTTTAAGTCATCAGATCTGGGACTCAAACCATGATCAGCTATGTGGGAGTCCATTGATGTAACCATTACGCCATCTGCTGGTCCCAATGCTAAAATTATATTAATGAGTAAGAAATAAGTCTTGCCCTCATCAATATGGTGGGTTAAAACATATATATCAAGAGAAAAGAGAAAAAAGCAAAACATTTAAAGAACACAAAAATGGAAAGTTACCTGTTGGTGATAATGTGTATAATATGTTTGAGTAATATATAGTGTATTCATGCTGGGAAAATTCATTTTGCATGCTGTAAAGATATACAGTGATTGAATGTGTTAAAAATAATAACAGTAAGTTAAAAACTTAAAAAATATATAAATTAAAGTGACAACTTTGTTGGTTGGATAGATGCATGTAAAAACTTTCAGAAATGTTCAACATCTTATTTTTACATCATTATTACACAGGTATATACAACTGTAAAATTTCATGAATACATAAGATCTGCGAATTTTTAATGTAAATTATATCTTAATAAAAATACACATTTTTATGTGACATATGCTATTATGTATGTTTTTATGAAGGGACCAAGAAAAAATTTAAAAGCTGGTGAGTGCTGAAGGATGACTAGGAAATCTCTGGAGAAAAGAGCTGAGAAAATAAACTGCAGTTGAAGATAAATAGTATGTACAAATACATCCTCAAAGATTAAGGTGTTTTCAAGGGACTTCACATAGTTTAGTATACATGAGAAATATTATCGACAGTAGGGGTAACCACAGGAGAAGGTGGCAAACCAATAAAAAAAAAAATTCCTTATTTAATCAAGACATTTGGCTTTATAGTATAGGCCATAAGGAAGCACTAAAGTGTTTCTAGAAGATTCTGGGGTTACAAAGGCTTGTAAATCTACAATGTATGGTAGAGATTTTAGGTCCTTTGTGAAAGAAAATGAGATGGACTATTTGACCCAGTGGCGCCCACTTATTCCCTAGCTCCTATCCAGCAGGGCTGGCATTGCTGTGAATGGGGGTTTATCATTCAAAGTCACAATGTTGAAAAGACCACTGCACATTGTTTTCTCCAACTTTCATTTCACTCTGTATTCCTCCTCAAGGCTAACATTTGACTATTATCCTTTCATTTGACATTCCCCAAATAATCGCTTTCCATTGCTTAGTAGTAGAGCAACATTTCTCTACATGACCTCTTGCAAGCCTCCTTGGACTAAATATATTGGGTGGTAATTGGAAGAAGTTGCAAGGGCACCTGAAATAATCAAAGTTTAAAAAATAAAAGGAGTGAAATAAGTCAATGCTAGTGGAAATGGAAATATATAATGTGATGATTTGAAACTTTTGGGGATGTTGGTATAGATTGAATAAATTTGCATGTGTGGCAATCATGAATTTTTACAAGCTAGAGAGCCACTGTGACAGATTAACAAGTACCTTTCCCCATCATATCCTGAGCTCTAGACTTGTGAATATATTCTCTTACATGGAAAAAAAAAAGTTTTTTCCACATGTGATTAAATGAAAAACCTTGAGATGGAAGATTATCCTCTATTATCCAGTAGGCCCAATGTAATCATGAAGATACTTTTCAGGGCATAATGAGTATAGAATCAGAAGAGCTGTGACAAAGAAGGCAATGGCATCAGTGACGTGAGCCACACGAGAAGGAAAGGAGTGCAAGCAGTTCCTGGAATCTGGAGAAGATGAGGAAATGGATTATTCCCATGAACATCTAGAAAAAAAGTTGCCCTGTTGACTCATTTTGGGCTTCTGAGTTCCCGGACTAAAAGATAATAAATTTACATTGTTTTAAGCCACTAAATTTGTGGTGATCTGTGATGGGAGAAATAGGAAAGCAATAAAAAGTCTACTCTTAATTATTAATTTTATCATTTATCGAACTGGTCTTGGAGCTTAGAATATTTTAAACTCCATTAACCCCTTCCTATTCTTTATGTTCCTGTTTTCACACATTATAATTCAATAGATATTTTAAATCTCTAATGCCATTAGTATTGTTGTTTTGAACAGTCAACAAAGTTTACATTAACCTATATGTTCTTGTTTTTAATTACTTTTTGTTCTTTCTCAAATACTTCTTTATTTTTATCTGGGATTACTCTCATTTTGCTTGAAAACCTCATTTTAGTATTCATGCTAGTGCACATTTATTGGCAACAAATTCTATAGGCTTTTGTTTGTTTGGTAGTGTTTCAATTTTATCTTACGTTTTGAAGAATATTTTTGAGGGGTGTAGGATTTTAGGTAGAAACGATAGTACTTTTATTTCAGCATTTTAACAATGTCATTGAATTGTTTTTGGTTTTTATATTTGTTAAAGAATCAATTTTCAGTGTAAATGTTTTCTTTGAAGTTAATACATCTTATTTGCTCTATCTTCTTTTAAGATTTTATTTTCTGTCTTGGTTTCTAAAGATTTTACTGTAATGCACCTGATTTTCTTTCTTTTATTTAATCCGCTTGAGGTTTGTAGCACTTCATGAATATGTAACTTGATACTCTTCAACATTTTAGAAAATTCTTAAGCTCAAAATGATGCTTAAAATATTGCTTTCATGCCATTTTTTTTTTCTTTTTCTTTCAGGTGCTCCACTTACGATTAGATTTCCTTCACCAGATTACACACAGTTGGTAAGTTTTTATCTGTGCATTTCATTTTATTTGCTGTCTATAATTCAATCTGGCTATTTTCTAGTGGCTTTTCTTCCAGTTAACCATCCTCTCTTTATTTGTGTCCTATCTACTATTAAATACATGTTATGGTTTCTCAACAGCAGTTATAATATTTAGTTCTAAAAGATATCTCTGAATATTTGAGAATTTAAACTCTTTTCTTTTTTTTCTTTTCTTTTTTTCTTTTTTCTTTTTTTTTTTTTTTTGAGAGGTTTTTGCTATAGGGAGTGCACTTGCCAGAAAGACAGAGAGAGACAGAGACAGAAAGTGAGAAATCACACCCCAGGGGGGATGGCCATGCCATAATCCATTCTCCTCTCAGGATGGCATGCATGCACATGTGCCCAATGTGAGTTTAAGCCACCAGGTCCAGGACTCGAACCACAGTCAACTATGTGGAAGTCCAGTAACATAGGCATTAAGTCAACTGCTAGTCCCAGGATTTGACCTTATTAAGGGCTAGGTTTCAGGCTTGGACTAAAATGGCTCATCCAGTCATGATATATATCAGAAGCACCATTTGAAACTCGTATTGTTTCTTACCATCCCCCCCCCCCCCCAAGAAAACTCGTTTTTTTTTCCTTTGTACCCATGACTTGAAAATTATACCTATGTTATCCAGGGTTATTTGTTTAGTTTTTGCTATAGGACACATATGCTTGCCAGAGAAAGAGACAGGGAGAGGGAGAGAAAATGAGAGAACACTCCACAGGGGGATGGCCACGTCACAGATCCACAGGGCTTACTGCATGGTTCAAGTCCTGGACTCAAGAGCTTGAAAATCATGCCAGGTGCATCTGCGTGTGAGCGTGTATGCTCCAAATCCCCAAATGTGAGAGATGAAAAAGAAAACTCGTTTTTTTTTCCTTTGTACCCATGACTTGAAAATTATACCTATGTTATCCAGGGTTATTTGTTTAGTTTTTGCTATAGGACACATATGCTTGCCAGAGAAAGAGACAGGGAGAGGGAGAGAAAATGAGAGAACACTCCACAGGGGGATGGCCACGTCACAGATCCACAGGGCTTACTGCATGGTTCAAGTCCTGGACTCAAGAGCTTGAAAATCATGCCAGGTGCATCTGCGTGTGAGCGTGTATGCTCCAAATCCCCAAATGTGAGAGATGAAAAAGAAAGAATTGCAGTGTGGTCATTTCCTGTGGGTGGTGCTTTCTAACTTTTCCTATCTCTCTTTCTTTCTCCCTGGTGATCATATGCCATTCTCTGGAAAATTAAAATATTTTTTTCCACTCCATGACATATCCAGTATCTTTGTTTGATTTCTGTCTTATGCCAGTGAGGCTTTGCCAGGCATCTCAACTTTACTGTCTATGTGGAAGATATGCAAATCCCAAGGGTAAACATGGCCTCCAGAAAATCGTGCCCACTTAAATATGCCTCCTTTTCTCTAGCATCTATCTTCTCAAATCAAATTTCTTTATTGTATCTCCAAAGTCTTTGAAGTTTTTAAAATTTTATCTAGCTTTACCAAATTGTTCATGACTGAATTATGGTCTCTATAAACTACTCATTAATAGCTAAAGCTCTTGGTCCTCAGCTGAGGAGACAGCAAGCTGCAGTAGACAGAAAGTTCAGCTCTGAGGAGTAACTATAAAGAACATTATTTCGTATCATATTGAAGATAGGATACTTCTGTCTCCTACAGGAGATAGAGCCTACTGGAGATAGGCTCAGTATCTCCTTTATAACCATTATAGGAGGCTAAAAAATTATTTCCTAAGAACTGTGCTGGATCCAAGGCTCTAGAGGAGCCTGTAGAGCTAGGTGGTAAGAGGAAAATGAAAGACAAACCTCATGAACAAGAAAATCAAAGTCAAGTCCCTGACTGAATCTGTAATACTCAGAGTTAACTATGAGGCAAAGCCCCTGCATTCTGCCTAAAGCTTAGTCTGGGACCAGCCCCATAGAGAAGTGTGCTGAGGAAGCTTAATCCCACATGGATAGTCAGAGTTTGAGTTGCATCCCCAGTGGCTCACACACAGGCACGTGCATGCATACACAGGATTCTGATGGGATGAAGACTTGGGGGAGAAAGGATTGCATGACCAAGCCTGGATGGGGGATGCTTTCTTTCTCTCTACCTCTTCCTCTTGTAAGTGTGTACCCTCCATCACAATAAAATTTATATATAAATAACTAAAATAAAACCTGCTTTGGAACCTAGAATGGCAATCCAATTGTCTACATTGTAAGGACTGAGTATAGAAGTAGGTGGTCTCTGTACCTCAAATGAGGCTTTGAATATAATTCTAAACCACATGAAGAAACCAATCATTAAGAAAGCAAGCCTACACAACTAATAATTCCTCTGTCAACCCATTCTTGTGAAATAAATTTTATATCACTTAAAATAATTAATATAGTTATATTTGTGATATCAAAGGATAATTAGATTATATTCATTAAAATAAACAAACTGACTAACATAAACTGTAAAAATATAAAAAGGGTCAAATTAATACCTTGCTGTGATGGTTAATTTTATGTGTCTACTTGGACAGAACTTTTGGATGAGAGTAACATAGAAGTCAGTGAATTTTGGGTAAAGTAGATTGGCTTCCAAAATGTGGGTGAGCCTCATCCAATCAGATGAAGGCTGAATAGAAACAAACAAACAAACAAACAAACAAAAAACTGACTTCCCAAGCAAGAGAAACATTTTCCAGCACACTGTCTTGGTTATTCTCTGAGCCTTTGGCGCTTCTGGCTCTTTACGTGCTGGTCTTCAGACGAGAAACACATAATCGGTTCTCCTGGATCTTTGGCCTGCTAACTCACTGCAGGATTTTGACTTCTAAGTCTCTAATTCATGTGAACCAGTTCCTAATAATACCTTTTAAATCTGTATCTATATTTGTTCTGTTTCTCTAGAGAACCCTAAAGAAGACATTCAGCATTTATAAAAATTAAAATTAAAGAGCAGAATAGATTGGAGAAATCAAATCCTTAAGTGAATGGAATACAGGTCCACAGGCCTTCTTATATGTCTACTAGGAATTCTGGACCAAAAGAAGGGCCCTGCAAGATGTGAAGACAGAGTAGATGAGGTTTTCCAGAAACTCTGAGTCCTCAGTCAAAAGAATACATACCAAACACCATGCAGGATAAATAAAAACAAATCCCCAACTTGATGCAGAGGAGTACAAGCATAACACATTAATAAGAGAGACTTGTTAAAAGCTAACCGAGGAAAAAGACAGATTATCTAAAGATTAACTGTAGTTTGAGAGCAGATTTGGTACCTGCTAAAGAGAGTGTCCTGAAGATAACAGAACTGCATATTGGAAATCCTGAAGAAACTCAACTTTTGTACTGTTAAATCTTCGTTTCTGTGTGAAAGTTTTGTAAGAGTATTTTTCAGTCTTATAAAGACTCATGCACAGAATCATAACAAAATATTTATTATGGTATACAGTAGTGGAGATGTGAACTCCATAAACAAGAGGGAAAGATAAGCACAGCAGCCCAGCTGTGGCAGCAAAGGCAGAGGGTGCCTCTGGATGATACCAAAGCCATGTGGGAAGGCTCAGGACTCAGTTCAGTGTCACCCCAAACACACAGATGTGCCTGTGATCTTGGTTGGCTAAAGGACTGGGAGGAGCATCGTGGTATGGCAAGACCCTGTCTGAAGTCCCTGTTTCTCTCAAGAAATAAATACTACATAGAATTTTTAAAAAATGAACACACACACAAATTATGTCAGTAATTTTAAAAGATTTCTTTTTATTGTTTTCAAAGGTGAAACTAAAACTATAGACATCAATAACATAAGAGGGATGCCAATGCTATATTATAAAGCATGCTAAGATTCATCCCAAGATTTAAAAGACAGAAAAAACACTGAATAACTTTAGACCTACATGGAAAAAAAGGTACAGTTAAATTTGGGTATGGGCCAGCAGGTGGACTGGTGGTTAAGGCGCTGGACTCCATGTGGTTGACTGGAGTCCGTGTCTCAGACCTGGTAGCTTGCTTTCTCACTTTCTCCCGCTCTCTCTTTGTGAATTTTAAAATAATAATAATAAATTTAAATAAAACAATTCTTTAAATAAATAAATTTGAGCAAAGTATCTGAAGATCAGATGTATAAGGGTAACCTTAAACCAGTTGTTAAAAGTGGGGAATAGAAAATTGTATTTGTGCAAAGAAAATCAAGAGAAAGAAAAAAGAAAGCCAAGAAATGGTGGAACAAATAAATTTTAAATTTCTTATGATGCATTTTAACTTTCCTATGATATAATTTATTTCAGAAAATAGAAAAAATAGGAAATCATCCAACTTACTCAATAAGAAAAATATGTTTTGTGCCCAAACAAGGAAAAAAACGTACAAGAAAAAGATAGACCTATTTCATTTGATTGTAGACTCACGGGTCCTAAGTAAGTGCTTGGAATACTATTCAGCAGTGCGTTAAACAGTAAGAAACTATGATAAAGTTAATTTTATTTAATAATGTGAGAACATTTTAATAGTAGTAACTATATTTTATTTATTTATTTTACATGCCATCACTTTGCATCATTACAGCATACCAAATGTATCTTCTCAACATGAATACACTGTATATTGGTTCAATCAAAGATATTACACATTATAAACAATCACATTTATTTCCATTTGGAGACTATCTTAATGGCAAAAAAAATCAGAAACTTGATAATATCAAATGTTGACAAGAAAACACAAAATTTCTTTGAAGAAAATAGCCTTTGTCCTCTGAATTAAATAATTGCCACAAATAATTGTGTCATAAAAATGCACAGTGTGCAAAGAAAACAAGCACTGTAAGAGGTTTACTCTAAGAATGCAAGGTTACTTTAATATTAGAAAACAGTGAATTTAATGTATCACATTTACGTAAAGGCAAAAAAAATTATACCGAGTGAGGAAAAGCATCTTATAAATTTTAGCCTACTCTCATGATTCTGAAGACAACT